ATCTATCTATCTATCTATCTATCTATCTATCTATCTATCTATCTATCTATCTATCATCTATCTATCTACCTATCTACCTATCATTTATCATCTATCATCTATCTTGCAATGTTCAGAGGCAGCCACCAGCCTCCCAGACAGCCATCAACATGTTCAACTAAATTTCTGCCAATATTTACCTAACAGGAGGCAATCTATTGGGATCTCCCTACCCATGGAGCCCCCACAGTAATGTTATAAGCCTAGATGGAATTGGTTCCTTTAAAAATATCACCGTAAAGAACATTTCCTTGTAACTAAAGGCCTTGGTTATCAGTAACAAAGACTAAGTACAGAATACATTTCAATTTCTTCTACTCTCTCCCATTATCCCCTCATTCCCTGCTTAAATGTTGTTTTATATCTAAAAGGAAAGAAGGAAACCCATTCACCAGCATTCCTTTTGAGCCTTTATGATTGCTTGGCATTTATTGCAACCTAAATGAGAAATTGTTCCTGACGTAGCTTTTAAGAGAAACTTCTAAAAGGTTTTGTTCATGACCTAAGGAGAAATCGGTATTTTCCTCCTCCTCTTAACAAAATGAAGTTGCTGACAGCAGATCAGTCTTGAATAGATCAACAACTTCATCTTCTTTGTGGAAGGATTTTTTAAGAATAGCCTACTTTAGTGAGACAGAGGAAATAGAATTTGCATGCTTAGGTTCAAAAGTTCGCTGACTTGCAAAAAAAGACATTTCCTTTCGAACCAGCACACTTGCCAGCGAGAAAAAAATATATCACAAAAATAGAAATGAAGATTATTTTTATTGCTAAGGAGGTGAAGGAATGGTTTCCTGGCTTATAAAAAAAGGGACACAGAATCCTTCCCCAACAAGGAGCAACTGCAGGGTGTAGTGAAAAACGCCGGGATGGTCGATCACAATAGCGCAGTCAAAACGCTGCTGGTGTTTTACGTGTAACGCACAGGACAGGCATGGATTTGATTGTGCTGATGCGACCACCATCTTGACTGGTTTTGACCACACCTTGCAAACACGCCTGTTCCACAAGGATCTGGGATATATAAGAATCCAAGAGGACTCGGGCTTTTCTTTTGCCAGAAGCTAAATGTCTGAAACTCTAGATTTTTGTAATTTTTTCCCTTGCAAAAAGGTATTTTGAATCTTTAGAAAGATATCCAGTATATTTTGGCAGTTACAGAGATCCTAGGTTCATGAAATTTTCTGAAAGGGTATATTGGTTTTATTGAGAGACAGAGAGAGAAAGAGAGTGAGGGAGAGAGGGAGGGTGAGGGAGAGAGAGAGGGAGTGAGGGAGAGAGAGGGAGTGAGGGAGGGGGGAGAGAGAGACAGAGAGTGAGGGAGAGAGAAAGAGTAAGGGAGAGAGAAAGGGGGGGAGTGACAGAGAGAGGGGGAGAGAGGAGAGAGAGAGACAGAGAGAGAGGGAGAGTAAGGGAGAGAGAGACACAGAAAAAGAGTGAGGGAGAGGGAGTGGGAGAGAGAGGGAGTGAGGGG